AATTTGAAATCCTTTGCAGCATTTAAATATTAGATACAATGGAATTTCTAATGAATTGAAAACTCGAGACAATAATCACTTGTCACAATTTTCGCATATCAAATTAAAATTGAAATTGTTGTTGAATTTTCAACCAGTCGACAACATTTTTATTCACATAAACTATTAACCCTAGTTGGTCACCATAGGAGGGAAACGCCGCAGAAGGTCGATTTTTTTTTCTTACCATTGACTGGCTGAGCGGAAAAATCCTAAAAAATTGGAATGCGTCAATTCAAGTGTCTAGAAAATTGTGATGTTTTTTAAAATTATTTATATCCACAATTCCTGAAGAAAAAAAATTATTTCTAACAGACGGGCAATTTTTTCCCATGTTAAATGAAATTGCCCGTTGTACGACGTTGCCGAAGTCTCGCTAAACGCGCCCGGGCAGTATAGAGTGAATTAGGCAACGCTCGGGCCCAAATAACACGGCGGCGATTCCCTGCGGAGGTGACCAAAGTCGCAAGTTCTCATATGGTGACCAAACTAGGGTTAAAATTCCGTAGAACTTGGTTATTGTCGACGATTTAAAAAATTTTGATGTGAAACTTGAAGTAAAATTTTCCGTATTTGAATTCTAGAATATACAATAAAAAAAAATTCTTTCAATTCCGTGTGAATCACAGCGAGTATAATCCAACCATCGAGCACTGAGTTACCGGAGGAATGAGTACCCTTGACCGTCTTTCACCGAGAAAAGTGATGAAGGGAGTGAGAGACCAGTGGAGCACACCAGCCAGACCTAGAGTATCTACTCGAGTGGATGCCTCTACTCTATCAAAAGTGTGCATTGAACGTGGAAACAAGTGTTCTAGTACTCCCTCCGTTGTCACATTCATGCCAATTCGTATCCCCTCCACCCGCTCCCGAGCAGTGAATCGCGTTTCCCTCGAATTATTCCCAACACTGATCAGCCAATTATCGTCAATGTCAATAACGATATCCCAGCCTTGTCAATGTCCCAGCAACTGCCACTGTCCCGGTTTCTGCCACCCTCAACAACTATTAGAACCTTAATATACGGAGAAAAATGTTGGAGAAGAATTACCAAACAACACTGTTGGAAATTTTTCGAAATTTCATGGAAAATATGGTAGTAATTCTCATGAGAGTGACATTGAATTCGATTTAGGGGAATAATAGTTATGAAATTTCAAGTTTTAAGCAAAATTCAATGAGATTCATGACTTCTCAGGGGGAAGGAGACGAAAATTTCACAACTTGGTTGAATTTTTTAAGGAACATGAAAATTCAGAAACAAAATGACATGAATTTTCAATTTTTCCCTGAATATTTGATTTTTCAAGGACAAGATTTCCTGAAATTTCAGTGACATTTTCCTCAATTCTGATTTTGACCAATCAGAGTGCAGTATTCGGGGTCACGTGACGCGTTTCACACTGATAATTTCCCCGGCTGCAGGGAAATTATCAGACTGATAATTTTCCTGTAGCCTGTCAACTGTTTTCTGCGAATTTGACAGATATTCCTCACATTTTGGTGAAATGTGTGCCGTAACCCGGAACACTGCACCCTGATCGGCCAAAATCAGAATTGAAAAAATTGTCCTCCAAATATCCCTCGACCTTCAAAATTCATCGGATATTTCCCTCAAGTTTTCCTGCATATCAACGATCGGTATCAGTTTTGCAGTAAAATCCCTCGCGCTGCGCGCTCGGGATTTCAATCGGCAGAACTGATCCCTCTCGTTGCTATGCAACAAAACATTCGGGAAATATCCGATACTTTTGAAGGTCTTGGGGTATTATAGCTGAAAATTAAATATGATGAAAATTTTCGGGATGTGACACGGAAAATTCAGAAGTAAATTTATAACAGCGAAGTCAAGTAATCGTGGAGCATGTTCCATTTCAAGTACTTTTTCACCTTACATAGGAGAAAAAGTGCGAGATTAATAGTGAATTTTACTCCGATTACCCGGGAAAAATTACTAAACGTGAGGGTGATTTGTACCAAAACTATAAACTCAAAATTTTCTCAAATTTTCTCGAAAACTGGAGAATTTCTTTGAATTGTTTAGAAAACTCAAGAATTTCCTGAAACTGTCTGTAAAACCAAAGGATTTGCTTGCACGTTCTATAAAACCGGAGAATATCCTCAAACTCGCAGAAATCTCAAAAATAGTCTCAAAAACTTGAGAATATTCTATACCGAGAGAAATATTCAATAAAAATTACGTATCTATTCCGTAATCCCGGAGCGAAATGTAGTTGTAGGAAATTTTACGGAACTGTCACGGAATTTTTCCAGAGCGTTCAGTAATTTTTACCTTAATCTCCTGTGAGAAATTACGATACCGTCACTTAAATTTTCTGAGTCGATTCCGTAATCGGTGAGCAAGCTGTGAGTTCCGTAATTTTTACTGAACATTTCTCTCCGTGTAGAATTTTCCAGAAAGCTCAAGAATTTTCTAACGCACTAACTTATACCCTAAAGCCAATTGGCTCCCCTAAACTATGTAATAGTAAAAATACCATTGAAAAATCCATTCAGTCATTTTTACGTGAATGGCGGCCAAAGAATGGGCAATAAACTGATTATATTTAAGAAAACGGAAAGCATTGTGGCATCATTAACTGGGACATAGACAGTAAATTGCCCAGCGTGATCCCTTTTATTTCCCCACAGCCATAAAATGAGTACGAACAATTGGCGTGATAAATCAAATTGGGTGTCAGCAATACCTAACCCGAGGCATCCTCACTCAGTAATAGCTGATAACAATTGGTGGTCGCGAACTAGTCTCTGCTCACCCCCGATCGAAAATGCTTCAACCCGAAAATGTTGTGTATGTGTGGCACGTAAATGCAAGCCCGCATTTACCCCAAAATCACATTAAACCAGTCACGCATGAAGACACTGAAGTGGTCTATTGTCTGTTGGATATGTATACACTCAAGTGCTGTGTGCTCACACGCTAATCAGGCTCGAGTCATAGCACCCTCATCTTTTGAGGTGATTTACCTCGATCCTTGGTGGCGTAAGATCGTCCTTAAGTAACAGCAATTAAGAAAAAAAAAATTTAGTAAATCATGGTAACAGGTCGAAATAACACAAATGAACTCGAGGTACTATGTCAATACATCTGCTTCAATGAGCACAAACTCAGGACATCAAGTCAACACAATTAAACTCGTGGAGTTTCAACATAAAATACTTGCTGGTAATACATTTGCAAATACAAGTGCACTGTTGGGAAATTACTCTTGAAATTTTTGACATCGATTATACGGTTGAGGGGAGGTTGGAGTTATAACAGTTGCCAGTTTTTGGTGTGAGTGAACATTCCCATGAGGGCATAGTAAATTCGGAAATTCTCGTCTTTCTACTGCTAAAAATTTTCATAGTTTTCAGTGAAGTTTTATGATTTTATTCTCCTTCAATCAGTCATCGGCATAATCATAAATTTTAATTAAAGGGAAATTTTGAATGAGTCAATTGTTAATATGACTCGCCAATTTTTTAATTATTGAAGTAATCATCAATTTAAATACTCAAATTCCGAATTATTTTATCAATCAATAATTGAGTTCGGAAGATTGGCTATTATTTGGCTAATCAAAAAATACTTTCATGACATTTAGAAATATTTACTCATTTGTGAATTGATAATTCCATATTGTCAATTATTCTGTTAATAGGCAATGGAAGAAAATTTAAATTACCAATTATTACGTTTTTCAAATTTCAATGAAGATGAGTAAATCTTCATTATTGTAAGATGCAACTTTTCATATTACTAAATTAATGATTGATGCCGATCTCTGGCTTAAATAGAATTTCACGTCACTAATTTTGAGCAAAATGTTACTGATTTTCATTGATCTGCGTCATTCTAGTCAGTAATAAATTTCTAAAAATTAGTGACATGTCACCGAAAATCAAAACTGCTTGTTCTCCATTTCCAATATTCTGAAAACTGCGTAGATGTAGTAGTTCGTGGTTCTTAAAATTGACGGTAAAATTCTCATTCGCAATCTCTCAATTCATCGAATTCTCGTAGGTAATACCACAAGAGCTTCAAACTTATCAGATAGGTTGGTTGCAAACAAATGAAGGAGTCAAGTTTTTCAGGTGAAAAAATCACGAGAAGCACGAGTGATGTTTGCTGAAAAATTTAACAAGTTCGTTTGGACACTACCACAAATTTTTTTTAATTTCATGGAAAATATCGTGGTAATTCTCATGAGAGTGACATCGAATCTAATTTCCCAACTTGATTGAATTTTCAATGAAACATGAGTATTCAAAAACAAAATGACCTGAATTTTCCGAATTTTTACGGAATAATTGAACTGAAAAATCAAATGTTCTATCGATTTTCAGATCATTCGAACAAAAGATCAATGGAATATTTGATTTTTCAACGACAAGATTTCCCGAACTTTCAGTGAAAATTAAACATGATGAAAATTTCCGGGATTTGACACGGAAAAGTCAGATAACAATTTTTAACAAGGTATGGAACCTTGAGGGATGCCTGATTAATTTAAAAGCTGGAGTAGTATTCGGAAGAGATTAGTTCCATCCAAATTGCGGCCAATCGAATTGTACTAAGAGACAAAATTCATTTGTTAGTCCCAACAAAGGTCTCACTCGAGTAGAAAATCTTTTGTTTTTCATATATATATCAACATGAAAAATTACCAGTGAAATTCTCCGTGTTGACTATCTAAAATAACAGTCGAATTGTGCAATTCTATTGCTTGAAATTTGATTGGGAGAAATTCTCAACGCACCTCCTGAATTTGCAAATTATTTTTTGTCGGTACGTTAAAGTTGTGCATGACATTCGAGTGTGTTATTTCGACATGTAATCGTAAATAATAACTGTAACAACATATCTATGTAACTACTCATCTACCAACCACATTGATACTTGATCAGATGCATTAAAAATTTAATCAATATCCACTAAACACTGATTCATCATTTACCTTGGTATAAACTCCAGCGCTTGACAGCTCATTCTCAATCACCATCATGATGATGCCAAACATTCCCATGACAAGGGCATAATCACTAATGCGTTTGCGCTTTTCGAATAGTGCCTTTCGCCTGCCAAGTCTGTAGCCAACGTTGGGCTTGTGTTTTGAGCCAGGTCCAATGCTGCCCGATGGTGCTATCTTCATGGGTCCACCACCCAATCCACGCTCGTCCATGTAGCGTGGATATTCCGAGTGGACACCGACGAGGGCAATTCCAGCATCATCACCACCGGCACTAGTCAAGACACCACTGGCACAACCACCACCACCACCACCTTGTCCACCTCCGGTCCCACTGCTGCTTCTCATCGCCCCGGGGATCGAAAGTGTCGACACTGGCTTCCGCAGCTAGAACACGTCAATTGGGAATATTAATTACTCGATCGATTGATGTTTATTGTGAATCACGTTGTGTGCCACGAAATTCTGAATTTTTGGCTGCATTTTCCGGCTGAAACTTCTAGGTCATTTTTATTTTCATCTGCATTTTCCACGATCAAGTTCCACTGAAATTTCACGAAATCTTGTTATTGAAAAATCAAATATTCTATTGATTTTCCGTTCAAATGATCTGAAAATCAACAAAATCCTTGATTTTTCAGTCCAATTATTCCGTAAAAATTCAGAAAAGTCAGAAAAATTGAGGGAAAAATTGAAAATTCATGTCATTTTGTTCCTTTATATTCATGTTCCACTGAAAATTCAATCAAGTCGTGAAATTCCCATCTCACTCCCACTGAAAACTCATGAATTTCCGTGAATTCTACTTAAAATTTGAAATTTTATAACCACTCATTCCCTAAATTCGATTTAACGTCACTCTCATGAGATTTACTATAATATCTTGCATGAAATTACAAAAATTTCTAACAGTGTGCGCTGATTGAAACACAACTCTGATTCATACAAACCGAATTCCATAAAAATTCCCACTGTAGAAATTAGTGACTATGAATACAGTGGCGGACTTAAGTTCGTGAACAGCCTGCACTTGCATCCTATGTGTTTTGTTCATGAACTTTAGTACCCGACTGTACATAAAGACTCATAAAGTCTCATAACGAATTTCATTTGCCGCCGACCATTTTCTCGTTTGTTTATCAGGATATGAATTATCCTGGGGCGTGAAGTGCCGTCGGAATTCATTATACGACCAGCCACCCCTGGTTTGGCTTTGAGGATTCGCCCGTGGGGCTTTACACCGTAATGGAAGCATAAATAGCGCAGCATTCGGGTTACATGCAGATATGGAGATAATGAACGCTCACAAAACAATTGACCAAAAAAATATAGAGTCGATTCACGTGGAGGCTGTTAGTATCAGTTGGACACGTGCCACTCGGGTAAATCTGGACGATTGGACGCTATTTCCGAGGGACTTTGATCGTTTATTCGAGTTATTCTATTGTCCGTGAGCTTTTATCATTCACCCAAAGACGCATCAACGTGACATGACATCTCATCGATAAAAACGTGACCGCGTTGGAATTATATCTTGTGCGTGAGGTCTGATCGAACAACTCCGTGGGTGAAGGAGGGAGGGAAATCCTGCACGTGCGCATGATACATTCATTTCCCTGCTTCCTTGGTGACCTTCACATGAGTAGAAAGGAAATCTAGAAACTCCTGAGATCAGGATGGAATGTCCAAGATTTTTGGCTGAAATTTCTGGTACACTTCCTGGAAATTTTTGTCAAGTGCCAGTTCCACAGGAATTCCAAGGAATTTCGTCATTGAAAATTTGAAATTAAATGAATAGATTAGCGGAAACTGGAAATTTAAGTTCAATTTTTCCATGAAAATCGTCAGAAATTAGAAATACCGGTCAATGTATTCTTGAATTTTTAATTGATTAAAGTTCAACGTCATTTTCTGGTGACATCGTCATTAATTTTCAGACTAACGTCACTGATTTTCAGGGACCCATCTTTAATTTTTAGGAATCTGTCACCAAATTTCAATTGTAAAAATCACTGATGATGAAAATTATTCGAGTCAGTATTCAGTATCACTAGTAATAGTTAATTACATATTCTGGTTTCACAGTCTCAATTCCACTCGACTAGATTAATTTGAAAATATTCCACTGGGTGATTGGTCGCTCGCTTCGCTCGCCCCATTGCGGGTGGGTTGGAGTGCTTGTGACACATTACGGGTCGAACCAATAACTTCCCGACTAATTGCCTGTCCTTCATTCATTAGAATTAGATATTTCTATGTAACTTATTTAATTTATAGATATTTTCCATTGAAATTCCTCGGCTCATATTTTCAAGTTTTTTTGTTTGATTTTCTAAATGAAAAAAACAGAAAAATAGAATGAAAAAAAAATAAGAAAAAAAATTGACCTATATTGAAAAATCTTTGAAAAGTTTCAAATTTCAAAAATTCATGTTCGAATTACTCCGAATCCGCTGTGACAATTTTGCTGGAATTTCACGCGAGTCTTAATCACACAAAGTTGCCTTAATTATGATGCCAAAAAATCAATGTGTTCGTTTCTCTGAGGAATCATCAAATTTGTAAAGAAATGTCATTTTTTACAAATTATTGACGTTCTTTCACAAGTTTTATTGCAAAATCTAAAGAATCGCTGAGGCGATGTTGTTTTGAATCTAATCAGTTCTAGTTTACATGACAACACATCGATTGCGTGAAAAAAAATTAAATCGCATCGTTTGTTTGTTTCCGTTACATTTTTTTTTATTTAAGGCATTTTAAACCATTTGGTTTACTCCGCCATCTATCCTCTACCTAACCTTGCGGCTGTGGCCGGCTTGCTACACTGTACCGCATTTGCTCCTACGAGAGAGACGAAGGAAACTACAGAAAACCTCCGTCGGTACAGTCGATACCTCTATTAGAAACCTCCCGCTCGTCCAGAGCCGAGGTAGGACCCCACCAGAATCCGCCTCACGCGAGCCCCTTAACCCCCTTTACCGGAAGTTAAGGATCCTCCCCCCAGTCGGGATCCGAAGCCCAGCCACCCTTTCGAGCCCCCAACCCCTGTTACCAGAAGCTAAAAAACCCGACCGAACTGGGATTCGAACCCACGACCTCCTAGTGGCCAAGCCGAACTAACGATTTAGCCACCGCGACCATTGGACGTCGGTAATTCCGGTACATATTTTCTAGAATTTTCAGGACAGCGACACTGAATACGATTTAGGGGGAAAAATCATGAAATTTCGGATTTCATTAAAAATTCAATGTAATTAAGTAAGAAATTAAACAATTCTCATCTTTATGTTGATTAACCCGACGACCTGGCGCAGTGGGTAAAAGGGTTGCCTCACATGCGAGAGGTTTCGGGTTCGATTCTCGGTCCGGGAGAATGGTGATGATCTAACCCCATTCAAAGTCTTGATCAAGCGGCCGCTACAATAGATCTTGATAGATTTAGGTGGCATACGGCGCTTTGTGCGCCTAGTCGCTCCATTCTAATCTAAAAAAAATCTATGTTGATTAATTCTGGAATTTTCCGTGAAACCTGAAATTTCATTACTTTTTCCCCTAAATCTCATTCAGTATCACAGTCCTGAAAATTAGTACTCAACTGTCCATGAAATTTCATCTTTTTTCTAACAATGTCCTACACAAAATTACCAATCGGTAATTTGAAACGAAAAACAGTATTTTTCGCCATCCGTAGAAGCTCGGAGGTTCGTTCCGAGGAATGAGAACGAATGGGAAAGAATAACGAAGATGGAGGAGAGGTGGACAACCTGATGGATGTCCAGCAATTAACCAATGTCGCTCGGATGAGAAATGACATCAATTCCCTCGTCTTTCACGATAGATCATAAGACACATGATTGATTCACCGAGAGCAGATATCGGTGTTTTATCCCATTCAGTAATATCGATAGGCATGTCTGACTGATGTACGTTTGCTTTCGAGTCATTCGTATTCATACTTGCGTCTGCATGGATGCGTGATATACAAATTTATGGCGCAACCATCACACACGTCGCGGGTTACGAGATTTTCCAAACCACGGTTCATGGGCTATTCATTTTCAGGCTTCCGCAATCTCGGTAGAATGATAACGGCTTGGAACTGCCTTCGGGTTACGATGTGATAGTTTACGAGAATTCAAGTCGTTTGGGGACCGATGATACCTGCTGCAATATTATGATTTTTTGTGTTCGTGCCCGGGGAATCGAGACTTTCATGATTTTTTAAGTTCATGGAACAAAAAATGTACCTGAATTGAGTATAAAATATACTTGAATCAAGTATATTTTATACTCAATACTCATTTTATACTCAATATATCAATATATCATTTTATAATCAAGTATATTTTATACTCAATACTCATTTTATACTCAATATACTTGAATCAAGTATATTTTATACTCAATTGGGGGATGGGTTTTTCAATTCGAAGATTATTCTTTTGTATCAGGCCGGGTTGTAGCAAGCAGCCTTGAGTGTAATATAAGGATCAGGCACAATGTCAGAATACAGCGGTCGAAAAGTGGAGGTTAAAAAAAGAGGGTCAGAATATAAAAGTAAAAAAAGTGGGTGTCGGCAATGAGGATCTAAATATAAGTCATATATTATGTTTGATCACCGTTTTGAGCCCTTATATGACCCTCATTGCCTGACACCCACTTTTTTACTTTTATATTCTGACCCTAATTTTATGATCCTAATATTCTGACCCTCTTTTTTAACCCTGAAATTCTGACCCTCATTCCTTCATCTTTACATTCAGGCCCTCAGTTTTTGACTTTAATATTTAAACCCTCATTTTTTAAAATCCATTCTCCACTTTTTGACCCTTTGTTCTCACACTTAGTGTCTGACCTTTATATTATACTTGAGAGCGCTTACAACCTGGGCTGATACGAAATAATCATCCTCGAATTGAAACGCTCATTTCCCATTCGAGTATAAAATATACTTGAATCAAATACATTTTACATTGTACTTGATTCTGGTATGAAATATACTCAATTCAAGTATATTTTTCATTCGTGTTTGCTTCTGGGTGAGGACGCTATTTCCATTTGTAGGTAAATGTAAAAAATGATCGAAAATTGAAAAATTGAAAAATAAAATTCATAATTTCATAGAAAAATCCGTGAGAAAAAAAATTACACCCAAAAAAGTTCCATGATTTCTTGACCAGGAATAGCCATCAATCTTCTGATTATCCAATATTAAAAGAATTTCCGACTTACATCGATTAAGGTTTAAATATACTAATCGAAATTTAAAAATAGACTGTTAACAATTTCCGTCTTACTTTTCCGTGTCAAATCCCGAAGATTTTGCTCGTATTCAATTTCAAATGAAATTTCAGGAAGTCTTGTCATTGAAAAATCGAATATTCCAT